ATCTCCCCAGCCCAAAACCTATCTTTTTTAGCAGAACTAACCCTTATATAACTGGTTATAGAATCAAGTGGGCAAAAGACTTTTCTGTCTAAAAGAAAGGCTGGAAAATACGACATTTATCTAGTCAAAATATTTCTCACCTAAAAGCCTTTTGTTTATAAGGACTTCAGATGACTCAGAGCAAAGATTAAAAAGCAGTGAGCCATTTGTTAGGAATAATACATTTGTTAAAGTAAGAAACAAAACTCTCAGAGTTTCACTGGGTCCTACTTGTAATGCCAGCTACTGGGGCATTACAAGCAAGAGGGTCACAAGGCAAAGGTTAGCCTGATCAATTTACCTGTCTCAAAACTAAAGGGGAGCATGGGCATGGCCCTGGGTTTCATCCCCAGTGTTGAAAAACTTAAAGAAATAAGTCGGTAGATATATATCTATCTTACCCTAAAAACCTCCATCTAAGGAGTTCTAGTCAGACCTGCATAATATTGCCAGGAGTCAAAGTATGGCTCCAGTACTTAAGTAACACCTTTGTTCACTGGCAGTAAACCTGTTGATATCAAAAAGAAAATGCCAGAACCACCAAAGTTCTCGCACTCCAACTATAATCATTAAACCACTTACTTTCCCTTTCTGGCCACTATTGCTTACAGTGACTATCAACTGTGTTATCCATCCCCACTTTACTACTATTTTGGAAGTTGTATGCAGTTAAAGAAACAGTTAAGGCCAATATTTTCCCAATCCAGCCTTCAACAACCTCACTGACACACTGACCACAAAGAACTCTTTGCAACAGTGTGCAAATCAAGACACTGATACGGAAGAACTTTGTCTGACCCTCATCTGTATAGAGTTCTGGCTTAGGCAGGACCTTTGGGAATAAGGCCTGAAGGAGATGAATGATTTATAAAGGTAAGGAAACATCTGGGACTAATTTGGACATCTGAGAAAATGAAAAGGATTTTCTCTCCTAACCAAAAGTTCTGAACTAGAGTAACAGAAAAAGAGAAGGATATCATTCATCATATCTTTATCTAAGCCCAGTGCCCTGTGCCATGTTTAGTCCCACAAGATCTGATAGCTCTCAGCGGCCTCTTTGTCATGTAACCTCAGATGGGCTGAAGGTGGTCAGGGATTCCAGTTGCCACAAAGAAACTTAATTGAAATAGCTTTTAAAGGTTTTTAAGCGTGCCCATGATTTGTGTAACCCTTATCTATATTCCAATAAATAGAAATAAAATTATTAAAAAGGACTTTGTATTTAATAAAAACTGAAAAGCCGAGGTACTTTTTAATGGAAAAAAGCAGACAAAATTTCATAACAAAATAACAGAATAAAAATAGGTAATACATTGTTATTTTCTTTAAAGTAATTAATCAGGGTACAAGATATGAGCATAAAAAATTATCTAAATGATATTAGCACAAACCTTTCTTTTCGATGAATTAAGAGAAACTAGTAATATAACTATCTTTTTTTCCCATTCCTTTTCTCTTTCCTCTATCCTAGTTCCTTTTTACCTTTTGAACAATTTCTTCCCATTTCACAATATCTGTTATACATTTTGGGCCTCATTTATGCTTTCAGTTTCTCATTCCAAGGTGACAATACAACGTTTACATGTGTGGGTCTGATTTATTTCACTTATGAGTATGGTCTCTAATGGCATCCATTCACCTATAAGTCTGAAGTGTATCCTTATTTATGGCTCACTAGTACTCCATTGTATAAAAATACCACAGCTTTTTTTATGCATTCCTCAGTTGATAGGCATTTGTGTTGTTTCCCAGATTTAACTATTACAAATCATGCTGCTATAAACATGGGTACATATATATTGCTGCAAGGTACTTAAAAAACTATTCTTATTTCTAGGGAATTTTGTGGGAAAACATCCAATGGACAGAGAAGATAATGGTAAGAATCAAGGAAAATGAACTAAGCTGAGCCCCTTAGGCCTATAAAAAAGAAAAAGTGATGACACGGATAAATGGCCCTTATGACCCCCTTGCGCTCACTACCACCTCAGCTTACTTGCACAGCTTCACACAAGAACAATCTGTCAGAAGTCCAGATACACCTAATTTCTCCGTTTCCAATTATTCGGGTACCCTACTCACAGGAGATCAAATCCAGGACAGGAACATAGCTCAGTGGCATAAGCACCAGCCTGGCAAGTGCAAGGTCCTGAGTTCAGTCTCTGGTATGAAGAAAGGAAAGAAAGAAAGAGAGAGAGAGAGAGAGAGAGAGAGAGAGAGAGAGAGATTAAATACCAGTTCCTCAGAATGCATTCACTGTATTTTGAAGTTGGCAAGTGCAAGGTCCTGAGTTCAATCCCCAGTTCAAAGAAAGGAAAGAAGGAAAGAAAGAAAGATTTATCAGTGTCATCTCCCACCATACTATTCCAGCGTCTTGTACTCTAGCTGTACTAAACTCCTGGACATTCGCTAAAAAGAGAATACTATCTCAGACTTTTACTTTTTGCATTGCGTTTTCCCTTTGGGGGAAAAAAGGACCAAAAGGGTTTTTTCTTGTCTGCTCTCAAGGTGCTCAGTCCTCCTGAGGAAGCTGAAGCCCATCTTGGAATGAGGCCCTCAGTTTACCTGGTTGCTAGCACCACCATGCACCTGACCTCAGTGTGCCCCCGTCTCTGAGCTGGCCTGCATCTACTCTGTCCACACCCGGCACATCTGTGAAGGGATGGAAAGAAGGATCATGGACCACACTAAAGCAACTGATGTAATGGTTCGCCCTTGGCTGGGCATACGCCTGTAATCCCAGCACTCAGGAGGTCAGATTTTGAGCCCATCCTGGGCTACAAAATGAGTTCAAGGCCAGCCTAAATTGCATATTGAAACCTTGTCTCAAAAAGACAAAAAAATAAAGACTCGCCCTTCTTGGTGTGGTTGTTTGCAAAGACCCTGGCCAACTTCAATATCCAGAAGCTCATCTGCGGCGTATGTGCAGGTCAACAAGCTCCAGCATCTGGTGCCACCCTACCAGGAAGTCCTGCTGCTGCCACCACCACAGCTCCCCTGGGGAGAAGAGGGGTGAAGTAAAAAAAGAAGAACCTGAGGTGTTGACATGGATTTTAGTTTTTTTGTTCTTGTCTTTGTTTTTTTGTTTTGTTTTGTTTTGTTTTGTTTTGTTTTGTTTTGTTTTACTAAGCCTCTTTTGTTAAGTTAAAAAAATTCTGCAAAACAAAATTGAGGAAAGAGAGAGAGAAAAGCAGGGAGGGAGGGAAGAAGGCAGATGCAAAGAGGCGAGAGTTCTGTGGTTAACGTTTGTCTCACTAAAGCAGGACTGGATAGGATAGCCACCTGTGAAAACGAGATTTTTGAAGGGAACAGAAAATTTCCTTGCCAAAAATGACTTCCAAGCTGGGCATGGTGGTGCATGTCAATAATCCCAGCACTCTGGGAGGCAGGGTAATGGCAAATTCAAGGTCAGCCTGGGCTACATAGCAAGTTTGAGGTCAGCCTGGAACACCGTAAGTTCCACTCTCAAAACAACAACAATAAAGCATTACTTCCAGCCAGGCATGATGGCACATGCCTGTAATCACACATACTCAGGAGACTGAGGTAGGAGGAACACAAGTTCAAGGTCAGCCCAGTAACTTAGTGAGAACCTATTTGAAAATAAAGAAGGTGAGCAGGGTGCTAAGGAGGAGCTCACAGTACCCTGGGGCTCCAATCTCCAGTGCTAAAAAAAAACAAAACTTATTTCCACTGTCTACTCATCCAATTACCTATACTCTACCTGTACAAATATATTTTTTTATGTGTGTGTGTGTGTGGCCAGCTCAGCCCACCAGGGGGCAGGGCTGGCTGGCATGTGGTGCTGGGGGATTAAGCTGCGGTCCCTGTGCTTTGCTAAACTTGTTCTAAGTAGGTGCTTTAGACCACTGAGCCATCTCACCAGCCCTTTACAAATACATTTAATGCAGAATGTTGCCCATGATGTGACTTAATGGCCACATG